AGCCAAAGATGTTAGAATTGTGTCGATGTCCCAATATTTCTGGACCTGACTGTATATAAATATCTATATTTACCTGAAACATTGTATTCTTTAATAGTGTTTGCTTGCAGCTAGCTCTGGAAAACCCTTTTTAAATCAGAGAAGAGTATGAACTGCTTTTCAGGCAAAGCTGAACTCTCATATGCAGATAGATTGTTTCTTTCTCCCCCCATCTTCTCAGATAGGGTAGTTCACTGAAGTGCCTCAAATCCTCCAAGATACAGTACATCTAAGATTCTTAGCCATCACCTTTCTTCATTTGCATAGCTGAATATTAATGACTGTAATAATGAATTATAGTAATTTCCCTTATATATCTATCTGTATCTTAAGGCCTTTCTGACAGTACCCAACAATGCTCTTGTAATTAAGGCAAAGTGGGAAGGATCACATCATACATGTGGGTGAAACTGGTTTAACAGGAGGTTTTCTTTTTAGAAACTCTTTGAATGTCTATTTTACTGCTACCATATCATGCGTGTATTGTCTTGCCATTTTATTTTCCCTGACTATTCAGTTGTATTATTTTAACTGTATTCTTTGTAGTTGTCCCTGACAGAAGTTCTAAAGGATAGAGTAGATCTTTTCCAAATATACAAACAGTATTTACCATGCTGGTGGATTGTGTGGACAGCTTCCAACATGTTTTTCCAATAACTCTTCCGCTCCCATGGATTAATTGTCTTTTTCTTTTTAAGCCAACTATTAAGATCAATATTTCCACATTCCAACACCATATAGATACTCTTCTCACTGATTTCACTAAAACAACATAGTTGCATAAATAAAAGTTAATCTGAGGATGCATGTTTGGGGAGGGGGAAAGAGGGATTAGACTGATTTTACAAAAGCATTTACTTACTAGTCATAAAGTCGGATTATCTTATCACTATGTTGCTGAAGTTTGTTTAAGTGAGCAATCTCATTTTTATAGCTTTCTATGGTCTGTTGATCTGCCTCTTCTAGATGTACATATTTGATGGCATAAAGCTGTTTCTTTTCATCAAGAACCTGAAATACCTTTAAAACCATATTAAAAATAAACATAAAACATTAAATATAGGAATACCATTCTATGAATTTCAACATACCATATAATCAAGATATTCTGTATTTCAAGAAACCAAATAGAATCCTCAGTCACCTGTGAAATAATAAATAGGCATAGCTAATAACCATATTAAAATAATATTGAATAACCACATTAATATTGTTATTAATATTACAATTTATTTAAATAATATTTAAATAATATTTAATAACCATATTAAAGTCAATGAACCTAAGGCTTGAAAGCTGGCTGGGTGACTTTGGACCAGTCACTCTCCACGTCAGGCTCAGGCAACAAGCCGGTTGGTCAATTCTTGTCGCAACCAAAAGATCAACATTCGGTTGATCCTTAAAAAAAAAAAAAAAAAAGTGGACCCTGCACTTGTGGAAAAGTGCTAGGTTGAAAAAAAGAAAGAAAGCCAATGAACCAATGTTTTATACTCCACCACTGTCCACAAGCTTCTTTGTTTAGGACTAATCTTTTAAGAGCCTTTAAAATGTGATTATTCTTGCATTGCATTCACAGTCTCAGAACTGACTTATTTATGGCATTAAATGTATGCTGCTCTTATGACTTTAGGAGACTCAAGTATTTATTACTGTCTCAAGAAGATCATCAACATATTTATTTATTCCTACTGACTATAACAATGACAAGAAAAATTAAACAAGTATAACTATTTAGCATTGTTATTGTTGGTTTGAATGCATTTGCTGAAAAAAAGTATGTCAAAAATTTTAATTAAAATGTACTTATGAATGTACTTTTCAACCAGCTTTTTATCAATTTATATTTAAGAGCTCTGAGATTTGTTTTTTTTCAAGCAAAGAATAAAATCATAGACTAACTTTGGCTGGTGCTTCACTGACAACTTTTTCTGGATTAGAATAGTTTTCAATGATTCACACCTAATAAACTCACAATTGGATGTGTTCCATATGATGTGTTCCACATAAGCTAGCTTTGAAGGCTGCCCAGAAGTTGCATCTGGTTACATGGCTGCTAAACTATTTAAGTAGGGGTAGATAAATAGCATTATGTATGCGTTTGACAGTAGAAACATGTATGTAGAAAACCCATACACTGAAATCTTGTAGACTATTAGCCTTGCATACACAGAACTGTAGTTTCAGAGCTACATCCAATGTTATGGTCATTAAGTTCTGATCATATAATGGGAGTTTCCTTGCTATCCTCTACCTGTGCATACTCTGAATTGGACTAGAAGAACCCATACCATGCTTTCTAAAATAGATCTGACAATTTTTCAAGGAAAGTGTCTGATCTGCTAGTAATGTCTACTCTGTAGTTGGAGGCATATAATCAAATATAACCCTGAGGTTTTCATCCTCATTAATTATGGTTATACACATGAAACAAGTATCTTTTCAGCACAGAATATTTTAGTAACAGGAAGAGATATCATTTATTTGTTTTCAGATAGTGAATAGAACTGAATTATTGAATTAATTAGCTTCTGCTTACAGAAATAATGAAGAAAAAAGTAACACAACAGAAGTACTGAATAATGGACTCCTATGCTGATCTGCTCAAAAGCCAGCACTATTGTGCTCATAGAGACTACAAGTAAAGACACATTGGATTGCAGCTTGAATTACTCAGCTCCTTGGACCAATTTTTAAGTACTATATTTTGAAATTAAGTAACCATGAGGTATTGTATCTGCTAAGATTTACTTTCTTCTTTTCCAAACTGAACCTTTAGAATATGGAAAAGGCAAAAAATAAATACTGATTATAAAATTTTGGTGATCTGGAAAGTTTGTACAACATTTTGTGAAATTTTGATTGGTCCTAAACACTCAATTATGGATTTTGCACTTGATGATGCATACATCTCTTCTATATTAATCTGAAGTTTTAACCAAATGGCATGCTAGATATTCTGTGAAGTTATACTCATTCCCAATATTTATATTATGCCCTTTACAAATTTTAAAAACTGCTGAAAACTTATCACTTTGCTGATGAACAATTTGAGGGTGATTGTGAGGCTATAAAATGGAGAGGGAAGGCAGAGCATGTTTATGATTGTTAGCAGTTTAAAGTAATTACAAGTGTTTCTTTCACAACCATGTCTCACAAGCAACAGCTTTCATCAAGTCAAACAGGTTTATATTAAAATATCATCTTACCTTACTAGATCCTCCACTACCTATTTGTTTTAATACAGAGTACCATTTTCCTTTAACAAGAATGCATTCATTTGGTGATACAGAAGCTGAAACCTGAATAAAAAAAGTTTGTATAGGAAAAGAAATATACATTAAAAGGATCAAGTGAAATATCTCACTTCATTGTATTTGCCATCTTTTAACTTTATCATTTATGTTTTATTGGTTTTATTGTAATTTGATTGTTGTGAGCCACACAGAGTCATTGAGAGTCGGGCAGCATACAAGTTTAATAAATTGTTGTTGTTGTTAAAGCTCAATGTACACGTACAATACTGTGCAACATTATTTTATGAAGATCAAAATGTAAAATCAAGGATGGCAGCCCTAGCCTTTTTTGTGCCTCTCAGAGTTTGGGATTCAAAGACTGGCAGCCAAACACTGATGCTGATTTTTAAAAAAACACAAAATAAATAAAGGATCTGTTAGCCTTCAGACTGACTATACATACATAAACATATACATACATGTTTAAAAAATCAGGCTTTGAATCACATAAAATAACACCTTTCTTGAGAATTCAAGATTTCTGAGATCAATCTCAGAACAACAGCTAACATTATATTTTGATGCAGTCAAAAGAGCAATTGACTGTAGAGTTTTTAGTTTTTTAGGTGACTGTAGAGTATTTAGTTTCCAATGGTTTTCATATGTACAATTAAGAGAAAGATTTAAAGTAGACAAAAGGACATTTGGAATTGAACATAAGACAGAATTTGAAGTTGAACTATGTACAAATGATGAACATGTAATTGCTAAAATGTATAAGCTTTTACTGAAATTTGAAATGGAAGAACAAGTTAAAGAGTGTACAATACAATGGGCTAAGAACTTTGGTTATAATATACAGATGGATCAATGGGAAAATACATGGTTGAACGGACTGAAGCTCACATAATGTTACAACGTAAGAGAATTTTTATAAAATGATGTACGATTGGTACATGTCAGGCCCAGCCCAAGAACAACCACGAGACAGTTCAGTCCAATATAATTCCTTTATTAGCTCACACCTAATTGACAGAATCTCGCCAGACTAAACCTATGCTAAAGCAACTAGTGGATATACCCCGTGAGACTCTAGGGCGGGGCTGTCCTCGTCCTCTCTGTCTTCCCACGCTCCTGCTGTGGACTGAGAAAGCGCTTGCTCTGGAATGTCCCTCCTCCCTCCTGATAACCCTGATCCTCCATTCCAGTATCTTCCTTGCTCATGCCATCCATTACAGTACATGCCACCAGAAAAACTTTCTGGAATGTATAAAGGTACTTCAAATTTATGTTGGAAATGTGGAAAAAATGAAGGCTTATTTTTATCATGCCTGCTGGACCTGTAAAAAAGCTATAAAAATTTGGGTTCAGAAATACAAAGAATTTTAAAGATTAATATTCAACTGAAACCAGAACGTTTTCTGTTGAGACTAATGGATAGACAACTAGAAAAGACCTATGGAAGTCTGTTTTTGTACATGGTAACTGCAGCAAGATTATTATATGCACAAAGATGGAAAGACTCTGAAATACCCACAATGGAGGAACAGTTGGTGAAGGTAACAGAATTTGCAGAGATGGCAAAATTGACTTGCTTGATTAGGGAAAGACAACAACTACATTTGTCAGTGACCAAACAGAAAAAAATGAACTTGTGATTTATGGGTTTGACTAGAGAGAGGATAAAATATAAATGCACTTATAACTGATATAAAGAAGATTGGAAGTTGCTTCTTTATATTTGTTTTTACTTTTCTTTTTCTTTTTTCTTTTATTTCTTACTTGCCCACTTATCACTTTACTTTTCTTTTTTTTTCTTCAAATTTGTATTGTTTTTACTCTGTAAAAAATCTCTTCAATAAAAATTAATTTAAAAAAATCACTAGCAAAATTCTTAACTGCTTCTTGCTCAAAAGAATGAAGCATTATTTACCAATCAACACTTCTTTTGTATTATCTTACGCAATTTAGAAATAACTGATACCTGTAATCCAGTCTGTACATGGAACGGAGTTGTTGGTGTACAATGTTGCAAATATGAAAACTGGTTGTATGGTGTAGTTGCCTTATCCATAGGAAGAAAATCATTTGTTATAACTGGAGTACTGAAACTGGAAGAAAAAAAATATAATTGCAATCTATGCACAAAATACTGTATCTCCTCCCAATTAATCATATCTACAAGTAATGAACAACGTGTTTTTTTCTCTGAGTACCATACTTGAAGGTATAAAGTTTGCTTAAAGATTGTACAACAATGTTTTTTTGATCTAGCATTTTGAAAGTTTGCTTATAAAACATCTAATAATTCTATGAAATTGTTAAAAAACATTACATTAGGATTATTGTGAGTAGATGCCATTTCAATATTTTAAAAAGTGCCTTAGGCCTACTTTGAAAGAAATTTCCAGAATTACTTTTTCACTTTCAACTTCATATGAAACCCTCAGAACATATTTCAACTGTTGATTCATATGTCTGTTTTCTTACATACAAAAACTGCTTGCTTAAACTGTTCAAAAGCAAATTCAAACAACCTACAAATAATTTTGAATTTAAAAAATAATATCCCGCCCCCAACAAAATTACCAGGCTATATAATCATGAACCATGTTGTTGCAAGGTGTCCCACCAACAAAAGCTTGGCTCTTTCTCTCTGAAGCAGTCTCTGGTGAAATGGTATGTGAAATTTGCTCTGACGGTGAACATCTTTTAGAAACTGGAAATGCAGCATGTTCAAAACTTGAGTTTTTTCCCTGCAAAATGGGGAACACTTTTATATGATTAGTTCTTAAGGAGAATATAGTATATGCCCACTTCCACTGACTCCTACTTGGCAATATAAATTGAACTGAAAAGTAGAAATGGATAACTACTTGATCCCTAGAATGAATACAATTATCTTATCAAAACTAAGCACAAAGCAAATTACTCGAGGAGCTTTACTTAAAACTATTTCATTGTGTTTCTGGCCAGTATGTTTTTAATAAGCAATGCTGTCAATTCTAGCCTGATGGAGTGGGAATACAGGAGCCCAAAAGATAGAACCATGGTATGTTTGTTAAGAAGTAGATGCTAAACTATAGTTTTTAGTCTACAGCAACCTCCTTTGTGGGAGCAATCAAATAGAGGACCACATCTGGAAATTTCACATGTGATGAACACATTCACAAAATGGCTGCTATGATTACCATAATCAGTCACAAAACAGCCATTTATCAGAAGGTAGACTACAACTTCCCCCTGTATGCTCTCTATCATCTCAGTGGGACCACAAAGGCATGCCTATATATAAATGTGACACTACGAACAGTACAGTACTTTCCCCCTTCCTCTTTATTTCTGTTGATAAATACTTTTTAATAATAGTAATAATAATTTATTAAGCTTATATGCTGATCAGCTCTCAAATACCCTGGACGGCTCACAACAATCAAAGAAAGTACAATACAATGAATAAAACATAAAAATCAAGATTAAAAATCAAGTGGAACAAGGAGCCTGATAGAAACTAAATGAGATATCTGGGATCATACTGGTACTTGCAGGCACTAGACTCTATACCCTCAGTTTACAGTATTGAAGTGCTGAAGTATAAGGAAAAGATGGGGTCAAATGGAAAGGACAAAAACATCACTATTTTATACTTCTAGCAAATGTATACAGTACATCTGAACAGCGAGGTAGCTCAAGATCAATTTTTACACTGCCTAAAGTGAGTAATTAGTATTAACAGATTAAAAAAAAAATACCTCTGAGTTTCTTTTATGCTGTGTTTCAAGGTGAGGCCATTTATTTTTGGATGCAAGACAATTTAATTTGAATTGCTTCTTCTCTTTTTGGTTGCTTCCAAGAGAAAAAAGAGGCTGCTGTTGTCCTTCTAGACAGGCTGATTCTGTTGTTCTTGGCTGTTCCTTCAGTGTTTCAGTTTCTGAAACAATTGGTCTAGTTATCAAAATGAATATGACAGAGATACCAGTTGAATATGTAAATAAAACAGCCAATCAAGAAAAGGCTGAATCATACAGGGAATAAAATCTTTTAAAAGTGATCTATTTGCCAATTTCTATTGTTTTCTATGGCTGAAACACCTAAAAAGATTTGAAACAAAATGGAACATATGAGTTGCTTTGAGTTTTCCTCCAGCAGAACATAGACAGTTCAGAACATTTAGACAGAACATTGTAGGTAGAGCTGTTTTGTTCCAAGCGCAAAACCAAACATGTGCACAGCTTTAGCTCTGATCTTTCAAAAAGAATCAAAATAGCCACAGAAAAACAAGGTCTAAAATATGAGTTTCTGGAGCAGTCAGTAAGAATCTGTATTGAGCACTATATTTTGATTTGACTCAACCAGCAGTTTCTTTTTTTCCCTCCTTCTGTAATTTATATACATTGATTATGCTATGACTATTTCTGTGCTCTATCTGAAAGAAAAATCTATGAGCACCAACTTAATTGCCCACAGAAAGCATATCTTAAACCAGAACAATAGAATTTAGCTACCTTTTCAGAATTAAACCTACAATACAAAATGCAAAACCAAATTTGACACACAATATTTAATGTGTAAATCATAGGCCTTTGCAGCACTTCGAATTCAAAGGGCAAGAGTTATTCTGGAGCATATGGAGGCAGTCAAGAAGCGCCTGTTGTTAACTCCTTAAAGCAGCTGCATCTTTACTCAGGACTGTGAGGCTGCGCCCCAGATACATTGAAATCCCAGGAAAAGACATATTAGGTTTAAGAAGCTGTCAACAGGTTCATATGTTCTGACACACCTTTTTCCTTTTGAACCCAGAGCACTGTACATTGCCAATAAATCATAACAAAGTTAGCATAATTCCACATCAGTTAAAACAAACCTCTTTTTTTAACATAGATGGGATCATATTTCTCCTTTAATGTTAGTGTTGAACTGATAGCTACTTCTGAATTCTCTTCATCTGATTCTATAAGACTTCTAATTGGTAAAGGCTAAATAAAAGAAGAAGAATAAAAATAAGGCTCCAGTTAGTGGCTGCATAACTACACACTCCTTTTCCCATTTCTACCTGCCCAAAATCTGCAGATGAAAATCTGAAGCACATCAAGGTGGCCTGAACCATGTTAAGAAAAAGATGTGACCTCCAAGGAGAATTATGACAGAAAAAAGTTTCCCAATCTCTCCTCTATCCAAGCCACCACTATCCTACAGAGTTTAAAGGGTCTACTGAACAATGCAGAATGAGACATTGAGGTTGCTAGCAAAGGAGGGAATGACAAAATCCCTCCAGAAAATCTACAAAAAAAGTCAGAATCAAGTCTCATCTAAATCAAAGAGTTTGACAAGTACAAATTTTAAGCATGTCACAAATATTCCATTTACAGTCACAATATATCAGTTTGGCATTCAGTTCAGACCATGTTCTCTTATTTCATCAACTGATGCATTGTTAAGGCTGAGTATCTAACATTCATCTTTCGATTTCTTTCAAGGGAGAAGAGGGAGGGAAGAGTGTACAGCTCACCCAAGTTTGTCCACATCACACTATTTTACTTTATTTTATTTTGCATGTTATCACTGAATGATACCAGTGACTGTGTTTTAAAATTATGGAAAAACAACTTAAGTACAAAGCTAATAGTCAATAACCCTTAACAGCAGGAAGATTAAATTTGTATATGCAAGTAGTACCCTATTTCCTAATTTATTGATTTATTAATTAAATATATATGCCGCCTGTCTTCCCCAGAGGGTGACTCTGGGTGGCTTACAACTGAAATCCAAGACAATATAAATATCCACAATTAAAATAACAAGTAGCAATTCTATACATAGTATTCTAATATTAAATTATTTTTGTGCTTAAAGGGGGTGATCTAACATCCTATAAGCTGCAGCTTCTTTATATAATAAGACTATCTTCTCCATTTAAACCTCCTCTCAAAAATCTGCTTAGGAAAGTTTCCCTCCATCCCGATCAGCATAGATAACCCAGTATTACCAAATCTTATTTTGTCTACAGTATATGCAGAATGGAGATCCCCAACTGTGGGCCAACCTAGTCTGCCATCTGGCTAAGGATGGCTGAAGTAGAGCCCTTTATCTGCAGTGCAAACCACACTTATAGGAACTCTAGCTAGAACATCTGCAAGAGCAGCTCTCCTTCAGTTACCATACCATTTTCTCTGGAAAAGGGAAGAATTTTCTTTGGAAAAGGGAAGAAGAAGGGCCACATTTGCTAGGCATTTGATTTGGAGGACTTCAAGCACAGCTCTATTATTTTGTCTGCAATATTAAATGATGAATGGCACTGTCCCAGTTGGTGCTGCACAGAGAAATGTTTTTCCCCATGTCAGAAAGGAGAAAGGACATCCCCATGTCAGTATGGAGAAAGGACATCAATAAGCAGATTTTCCCACCTTAAAGCTTAGCACTCTTATATCACCTGGCCCCCTAGGGTCTCTTATCTGCATCTTCACCCCCATCATTGATTTACACAATCAAATTCCACTTATCTTATTCCCCCTCTTTACAAACATTATAAACTACAACAATGGACATAAAACAGAGTATTCCATTACCTTCAAGTCTCCAGGCAGATAAGAATCACTCCTGTTAGGTTTTGATTTAGGCTGTGATAGCTGGATCAAATTGGTACCAGATATTTGCCTAATTTTCCAGAATATTAAGGTTTAGTTACAAGGTTCCACATGTAGAAGCAATAGTACTCAGATATTAGCACGAAGAACAAGCTAAATATAACTTTTTTTAAAAAAATAAGATATTCAAATTGACTCAATATTATGGAGCTTTCTCTAGTATTTCATGAACATCCTAAAACTGGGCAAGAGGACAGTCCTCAAAGTACTTGTTTTAAATTATTAACTTAATAATTTAAAATTTAAATTTAAATTAAAGTTTCCCTAGTGGCCATGCTGAAGAAGTTGAATGCCACAGTATGTTGGAAACAAAAGCTTTACATTTATTCAGCAGTTTATTAAGTAAAGAATAGACTAAAAATTGATAAAGGGATTCTGAAAACTGGGAATCAGAGCTATATGCTGTGTGTAGCCAACAATAAAATGTTATTTTTATAATCAGTAGTAATGAGATGAGTACTAATATATAGCTCATACTGAAGTGTCAGCTAATGTGACAAAGATACTTTTTCAGCACCACAGGGTTTTGGAGAATAAATCCCCCAAGCTTTCTGCGGCTTCCAGTGAGGAATTATGGCAGGCTGATGTCTCTGAAGGAGCAGAGAGACACCACAGCCAAGAACACAGCCTGGAAACGGACGCCGGCCGGTGAAATCTCTCTGGATCAAAGGGAGATTGTGAGATAACCCATTTGCACTCCAGACAGAGGCTCCTCGTGAGTAAACTGCAGAAACAGAAGTTTTTGCAGCCAACTCAAGTTGAGCTGCCAGGAGTCCCAGGATCCCATATAAGCTCACAATTGCGGTATAGCCTATATGGACAATAAGCCCTGCCATCCTCGTTTCTTAATAACTTTAGCAAATAATTAATCTACTGATAAAGAGAGATTTCCTTTGCGGCAAAGATAAGACATTCTACACTGAGTTAAACCTTCTTTTGGTATTACAAAAACAGAAAGAGACTTTAAGGATTTAAAGATTCAAGAACCTTTTGCAAAAAGCTTAACAGAGGGAAGATTTATGAATATTTTAAAATCGAAAAGGGGACAGTTATTTTTCTATTTTTTTACTTTTATTATTTTTATTTTTGACAAAAGTGCTTTGGGATAAAATTGCTAGTCTTTCTAAAGTCTAGACCGGACCTTCGTGGGAATGCTTTTTGCTTACTTTTAAAGAGTGCATCTAATTGGAGGACTTTACATAGCAAAAGATAAGGTAATGACTTAGACTGTGATGCTTTGTTGCTATGGTGATGTGGTTTGTGATGTGGTTGGAAGTTACAGAGAGTGAAAGTGTTAAAGCCACAGAAAGATAAAAGAAGGGAGAAAGGAAAAAAGGGGGAAGTTGGCCCTTTACTTTTGCCTGTTTGAGATACTTTTGCTTTTGGATTACAATATATAATGGCAACTACTAGAACTGCAAGAGAGGGCAGGAGGGGTTTGTAGAAAAGCCTGCAGATAAAGCAGTTTCACCAAATTTGCTTCAGAAATTATTTGAACAAATGGGAAATAAGATGGAAGCTTTTGAAAAAAGAATGGATGAAAGACTTGTAAAGATGAAAGAGGAGATGAAAGAAGAAGTCAAAAAGTTGGAAAGTTCTATAAAGCAAATATCTAGAGAGGTAACACAAATCAATGATAAAGTGGACATTTAGAGAGTAAGACAGAAGTTATACATAGTGAGTTGGAAAGAGAATTAGAATCTGGCCTTATTGGAATTGAGAAAGAATTTTGTTTGAGGTTTAGAGCTGTACCAGAGGTTTCTGATAGATATTAGAGAGAATTATTAATGTCTTGGCAAATTTTCTAGATTAGGAAGAGGAAGATATAGAGGCAGAAATTGATAAGGCTTATAGAATAGATTCTAGATTTGCCAGAACAAGAAATGTACCAAGGGATATACTTCAGTGCATTTTGTTAGGAAGAGGGATCAACAGTGTTTTAATACAAGATTGAAAATGGATAATACAGATATAATTGTCTTGAAAGAAATTTTTATTAGAATTTTACAAAAGAGAAAAGAATACACCTTTTTGGCTGAAAAATTAAAACAGAAAAAAATCCCATTTTGATGGGATAAACTGGAAGGTGTGATTTTACTTTTAAACAGCAGAGATTCAGACTGAATTCTGTTCAAAAGGCGAAAGAATTCTAGAAAGATTCAAAGAAGAACTGGAGGAGATGCAAATGGAGATTTCACAAAAACCGGAACAGCTGCAACAGGAACTGGAAAAGGATGATACTGAATTAGGTGCTACAGATAATTGACTTTTCTAAATTTTTGGCCTGATTATGAATTACAAATGTTTGACATGGGATATAAATGGAACAAATGCTCCTCAAAAGAGAAAAAAA